GTGTCTAAGCCCAAGACCACCATCTTATTATGGATAAAAACTAGAACCCAACTGCTAGGAGCTCAAAAAGGAATGGATACTAGCCCACCACAGACTCTGCATTTGTATGACTCCAGGCTCTCACATTACTCCCTACATGTCACTTTCAGACTATGTTGTCCTAAGATCCATGCTGAGGCCTGCAGGGTTGCCCAGTCAGAGCTTCCTCAGCCCTAAGCTGTCCTAGCCTTCTCACAACCCACTCAGCCAAGGTCTCCTTGGCATCTGAGGAAGCAGAGAAAGACACTTGGGGCTTGGTCAGCAACTGCAGACCTGCAGCTGGATCTGGGGATAACTGTCTGAGTCGGGGTGGCTTTGTAACAGGGCCGCAGCAACCAAATTCTCCCATCACAGATTTCTGATTCATAGAGAATTTGGGGAGCAACTTTGTTGTTGAGTTGCTTTTTGCTGGAGGAGAGGCATGTGTGGTATATCCCCAGTCCATCCAGGTCTCAGGATATAGCTCCTGGTGACATCCATGGGCCTGAATTCCTGGAAGCCAGAACATGGTTGGACAGAATGAATATTCTAGAGGCTGCTGGGACATGGCTTTCTGTGGTGTTTCCTTCAAGGGAATTCTGCTGTTGCCTTCCTTAGTTGTCCTCACAGTTTTTCTGGAGACTAGACTAGACTCTGGAGCCTGTCCCGGCCCCCACCCCCAAAAGGCTCTTAGGAGTACACATACTAAGGGACAGGGGCATTAGAAGAAGTGGAGCCTCTGCCTTGAGCCCTTAGAGGAGGAATTCAAAACTTACCATCATTTCCTAGGCTTTCCTGTCTTGCACAAATCATAAAACAGCTTTCTAACTGGACTGGTCTCCCTGCCTTTACTTGGATTGAGACACCAGTGTCCCTTGATAGTGTAAGGTTTCATGTGGCCTAGATGAAGAGAAAGCCTTTGAGTACCTCAGAAAGGGCCCACCTTCCTCTCTGCCCATGATTAGGTTCACCCCTACCTCTGTTTTGAATTCATGTAATTTCAAAAATGTTCATATTTCTTTACACCCTTTACAAAAACTCTTCCTCCTGTTGCCTTCCTGCACACACACACCCCACCTGTCCCACCACCACCCCCATCCCATCCCCACCCCAATCCCATCCCCACCCCTACCCCACCCCCAGAGTCTGCATCTTCTCAGCCACTTAGTGATTTGAGCTATTTTGGGCCTTTCTTCTTTCTTCCTGTTTCTCCCTCTAAGTAGCTATAAGTCTTGCTTACCAATGTGAGCTGTGAGAAGAAGCCCACTTTTAAAACTGGATCATGCTGGACATGGTGGTAGTGCATGCCTTTAATCCCAACACTCAATCTCTGATTCTGAGGCCGGTCTGGACTACACAGTAAGATCTTGTCTCAAAATACCCAAAGCAGAAGGGGGCAAGAAAGATGACTGACTTTTAAAGAGACCCTTGCTTCAGTGTGAAGCTTCTCTTCCCCAGACTTTCCCAGTACATTCCCATATACCTCAGTCTCTAAAGGTCTTACTTCTTCTTCTGCTGGAGTCTTAATCATGTGAACCACAGGCTGACTCAGTTAGGCCTAATCCTTTTTAGAAATTCCCTGTCTGTCAGAGAAGCAGGAATTGACTCTTGAAGCTGGTGGAAAGGCCGTAAGTAAACGCTAAAGAAGATTGAGTCCCCGAGGGTGTCAGAGAACAGCTACCGGACTCAAGAATCATTTTGATAGTCTGATAGTTCAGGCGGACGAAAAGCCTATTTCCATAACTGTGATAGCAGCTGACTTGTCACTAGGTAGGGTTCTAACCCTTTCATGCCCTGCACGTTATTTATTACAACTCACCTGGTATCATCCCCATGCGACAAAGCCAGAAGTATGATTTACCCATTCACTTAGCTAGAAGTGGAGAAAGTGGAATGAAAGTGTGTGTCTTGTTTCAGTTGTGTATTTGGCCTGGTCTGGCATTAGGTGCTTATAAATTTGCACTTGACTGAATGAAGTAGCAGAAGGTTTGTGTGAGGAGGGGTGGCAATGAGGCTTGGGGGAAGGGGTCTTCCCACCTCTGGGGAGATGGAGTAGTTTTAGAAAACGATAATTGGATGCCAGCACTTTGTGGCATTGGCCTTTAATCTCAGCACTCAGGAGGCAGAGGCAGATGAATCTCTGAGTTTGAGGCCAGTCTGGTCTACAGAGTGAGTTCCAGGACATCCAGGGCTACACAGAGAAACCCTGTCTCAGAAAAAAAAAAAAAAAGAAGAAGAAGAAAAAGAAGAAGAAAAGAAAAAGATAATTGGGTTGGGTTTGTCATGCTGTCTTTCTTACCAAGAAAGGTAAGCATTTCACCCAAAAAAACTTAGAAAATACTTTACCTTTCTGCAGCCTCAAGGCAAGAGGAGGAGCTCTCTCTCTCTCTCTCTCTCTCTCTCTCTCTGTGTGTGTGTGTGCCCATATTCCTGTTTCAGGTTCCTAGTGGGCTACAGCCCATGTGCTAGCATGTACCATGTACTTCCTTTCTTCCTGGTTCATACAGGTGAGGAGAGTTGGAAAGGAGTCGTAGGAGGAAGGATGTGATTCAGGTTATTTGAAAAATTATCTGACCAGTTTAAATGTGGTTCAGACACTAGAGTCCTTTCTGACTTGAAGGTCTGTTTCACTCTCCTCAGGGAAACCGGCTGAAGCAGGTCTGCTGGGACTTCTCCAGGCTGTGGTTGTTTATGGCCTATGGTTCCAAATGTTTAGCTCCTAGAAAGTATACACTGCTAGTATCAGACAATGCTTAGATCAAACAGTCATTGCCAGCAGGTCCTGTGGTACAGAGAAGGCCACCAGGAATCCCCACCCCAGATCATGGGAGTATACCTTTAGAGTATACTACCGAGGGGTTAGTGTATACCCTGAGAGTATACTACAGAGGGGTTAGTATACCCTTTGAGTATCCTACAGCGAGGTTAGTATACCCTTAGAGTATACTGCAGAGGTTTTAGTATACCCTTTGAGTATACTACAGAGGGGATGCTTTGGGAATACATCCTTTTCACTTGTTAGAAAAGTGGTCATTGGGGCTTTGTGTTCCAAAGTGTTGTTTGGGTTGGAACAATGGTTGTTAAAAGATTATCAAGATGATCAAGTCATGTACCACAAGGGTAGAAACAATTATTCTATGCCTTGTATATGACATCCCCCAGTGGACATTAGCCATATGTTATTACAATAATGGTAGTTTCAATAACTTCTTAGTTTTCCTATTCAGTTTCTACTCTTTGGACTTTTGCCCCATGGCTTACATGGAATTAATTGAACCCAGAATTTCTGATCAACTCTTTGTGGTAAAGCAGCCAAAGAACACAGTGTTCCTTTGGGCAGCTTTCGTTGTGCATGGTTGAAGGGTTTTGTTAGGGCTGGAGAAAGGAACTCTTGTGTGCTACATGTTTTTTTAATTCAGTCATTGTTTTCTGACTTCCTGGTACCTGCCTTCTCTAAGTACTTTGTTTCTGTGTTATCTACCTGATGGGCACCTGTAAAGTACCAGTTCCCAAGTTTTCATCCAGGAATGGGGAGAGAAAAGTTTCCATCTATGGACTACAGGCCCTTGTGGGACAGTGATACTAACGTGGAGGCTCTTGATCTCAAGAGTTTCGGGGGAAAAAGAGCTTTAGTGAGTGAGTGAAGACTCCAAAGTGGGGGGCCCTCACTGCTTCATGGCACTATGAGGTTAGAATGAAAGCACACGTTCAGGAAGGGTTTTGTGAGCTGCTAAATGTAAAGGGCAGCAGGGTAGATGCTGGGACCATCTCTGCTAATGTTGGACCCCAGGAGTTGGTAAGATAAGACACCCCCAGAGATACCCACAGGAGCTGCTTTGGTTGGAACTTTACAGAAAGTGCCACCATCTGCCTTTGTACATTGAAACCTGTCCGTCAGTCTGTCTGTCCATCTAACCAATCCATCCATCCATCCATCCATCCATCCATCCTTCCATCCAGCTTGACAGCAACTACTGCATTTTTATTTTATGACAGTGGGGCACTAGGTGAATAAAAAACAAAGTATAGTTTCTTTATCATGCTTATATTTTCATGGACAATACTGAAACTAAACAAGGTAAGTCATTAACTAAGAAGGATCTTTTCCGACGTCAGACTTGGTGACTTGGGCCCATCAGCTGGACCTAAGTAGGCACTTTGTCTCTAACTCTATCATGTGTATTCAACTGCTTTCTGCTATACACTGTTAGCATTATAAGGGCGAGGATTGAGTGGGCTTCACCACATTCCCGAAGCATCTAGTTGATGATCTGATAGACATGTAGTCCAAAAATACGGCAGTCAGGATATAATAGAGAGTGGAAGTGAAGAGGCACCTAATTTTCACTATTTCCTGTGGTTTGTTCCTGGATTCTATTTGTAATAATATACATATGACATATGTTTAAATGCCCTTTCACCTTTTCTTTTAAAGACACACACACACACACACACACACACACACACACACGCACGCGCGCGCGCGCGCGCGCGCACACTTTAAAACAGAGTCTTACTGTATTCCAAGCTGCTCTGGAATTTTCTATTTAGCCCTGGCTGCTCTCAGACTCATGTTCTACATACTTCAAGCTCCTAGGTGCCAGATTACTGTGTGTACCACCACACCTGGCCCTTTTTTCTTTTTTCAGCTCTTTTCCATTATGTGGCTGTGCATGAGTTGTCTAACCAGTTTCCCAGGGATGCTTATGTATGTAACTGTTTGCAGTCTGCTGCTGCACACTTAAGCGAACAATATTATTTACAGTTTGTCACATATATGCAAGCCCTTCTCCTGAACAGATTCCTGGAAATGGATTGTTGACTCAGAGGGTTGACACTCAGGATTGATTTGTGCAGTAAGGGCAGAAAAATGAGGTCGGCCAGTTAACTAATGACCTCCTGTAGCAGATAAGTCACTGATCCTTGTGAGTGTTCTCTTTGAAGGTCTTGTGCATTCTCATACCACTCTGTCTCTGCACCAGGCTGGAGACACCATGTTCAATCGAGCTAAGCTCCTCAACATAGGCTTCCAGGAGGCCTTGAAGGACCATGACTACAACTGCTTTGTGTTCAGTGATGTGGACCTCATTCCAATGGACGACCATAATGCCTACAGGTGTTTTTCACAGCCCCGGCACATTTCTGTTGCAATGGACAAGTTTGGGTTTAGGTAAGACATACTCTGAAAGAGCATGCTGCAAATGTGCTACATTTTAGGTGTGGTCTAAAAAATGTAGTTCTTCTTGAGTGCCCCTGGGCTCCGCAGGAGAACTCCACCTCTGAGACATGGTTGCTTTTTAAAAGTCTGTAGTCATTTATTGCTGGAGAAGGAGAGTCCAGCCATGCCTGTAGTTACTGTGTATCCTGATAACAGTTATTACTGTTTGGCACGGCTCTTATCTTAGGACTTCCTACAGACCCATGGCTGGATTTTCTCACCTTCTACTCTCCTCTGCCCCACAGTTTGGGAAGCAAAGTGGACCCCAAAATACACACTGATTCTAGAGCTTGGATATCTTGGCAGATGTCCCTCAGCATTGTCAAAGAAATATGGTTCTGTTTCCAAGAAGAACTTGGGCTTCTGCTCAAACATGGGGCTCTAACTTTTCTATCAAAGTGCTAGTGAAGACGCCAAATATTCCTGTCCCCAAGGGCAGGTGTGTGATCCAAACCTTATTGACATATGTAAAACATAGCTTTACAGTCAGTTGTTTAATCTTAAAAGTCAAGGGGCTAGACATAGTATATATGTGTATAAAAATGTATAACTTTAAATCCCAGAACTACAGAGGCAGAGGCAGGTTGATCTCCACAGTTCAAGGCTAGCCTTGCTACATTCTGAGTTCTAGGACAGCCAGAGCTTCATAGTAAGACCCTATCTTAATAAAAAATAAAAATAAAAAAAAAATCAAAGTCAGTAAGTGTGAAGTTTTGTTTCATAGTTGACATCCTTGTTTGCACTAAGCATAGAAATATTTTTGAATTATCATATCATATATGCTATCTTTCCCTTCCTTAAGTAAATGTGAAGCTGGAAGCTGCAGCTACCTGGGTTTAGACTGGCCCAGTATACTTGGCCTGTGCAGATAGCCTTTGTGTGAATATAGTTGCTCTCTGTCAGGCTGTTATTCTTGTCCTCTCTTCCTCCCTCACTTGATGAGGGCATGAGATCTGTAGCACCACATGGAACATAGGCCTCCCTGTGTCAGAGCTGTTTGGGATCTAAACCGAGTGTCACATTTAGACTCCTCAGGAATGAATCTGTGACCGCTTGTCTTCCTTCTTTTTGAATGTCTTCCCTTTGACAGGTTTGTACTCTGACCCTTCTTATTCCTCTCTTGAATTGTGATGAGGCCCAGGTAACCACTGAATTCATTACCCTAATACCAACAGTGGCTTGTAAACACCCTGTCAAGTTTGGTAAATAGAGCAGGTAGATAAGAAAAATAACGGAGATAGCATAATTGAATCTAGTTAAGATAGCATGTACTTCCACTGAATTAGGAATCTACGTCTAGAACAACACTGGTTAATAAGACCCATTATTAGTCTAGCCACCTTTGCTTTTAACCAACATCAAAGGTATAGGCATGGGAGCTGAGGCTATAGCTCAGTGATAGAGCAGTTGCCTGGCATGCTTGAGGCCCTGGATTCAGATCCCAGTTCTGTATTTGACCCCCCTCCCCAAAAGAAAGGTGTGTGAGGTGTGCCAAAAATGGATGATTTGATCCCTTAGTGATAGTATTTAAATTGGAATTCATTGCTTTAGATTCATCCAAGCAGAACCTCGGGGATCTTTGAAAAATAGTCCTTCTGAGCCAGTGAGGTGTTCTATCCCTCTAATTGTAGCAACTGGGAGGCTGAAGTTAGGTGGGTCATCTGTCCAAACATATACTAGGCAACTTAGTGAGTCAGACCAAGACGGGGTGTGTGGTGTGCTGTGTGTGTGTGTGTGTGTGGGGGTGTGTGTGTGTGTGTGTGTGTGTGTGTGTGTGTGTGTGTTGGGAGCGAGGGTTTCCCAGTTCAAGCATTGTGGCACATAACTGTAATCTTAGCACTTGGGAGGCCAAGTAAGGCAGGAGAATCGTGAGTTCAAGGCTAGCCTAGGATACAAAGTAAGAACTTTTCTCCACCCACAGCTTCCTCTTCAAAAAGGAGCCACTACTGATCTTCAGTTGTGTGTGCTCTGTGTGGTTTGGCTGGTGTTTTCCTTAGTTTATGTGATGGTTCTCAGTCTCCTTGGAGTCCAGTAGGAACCTGAGTGTAATTTGGAGTTGAATTAGGGAAACAGGAAACTGAAGCCTTTCGAGGGCCCTTGGACAGACCTTTATATGACCTTTGGGGCAGAGTCACCCTTCCTAATCATGAAGATGTTAAGATATCAAAGGTATAGAAGGACAAGAGCTCCCAGTGTTCCAGTACTTGGAAATGTGGAAAAGCAGGTTCATCATCTAGCTATGTCAGGATAAAGTAGAAAATCTGAGGCAGTTTCCAGAGTTGTAGCTGCCATTGTTAGGGTTATTGTGCCTTTGGGAGAATGGTAGATAAGAAGAACAATGAAGCATGGTGTGACAGTGGGCAGGGCCACCTAAATGAGGACTTCTTTGCAGGAACAAGGTACACAGAAAACAGATTGCAGAGTGACAGTAGAAGAGCTACTTAGCCTCCCTATAACTGACTGGTTTTCTATATAACCATAGGTACAGCACTGTACTCTTAGAAAAAAAGATTCTACACATCTCTGTGTGGCTAAGATAATCTGAACTGCCGGGCGTTGGTGGTGCATGCCTTTAATCCCCACACTTGGGAGGCAGAGGCAGGCGGATCTCTGTGAGTTCGAAGCCAGCCTGGTCTCCAGAGCGAGTGCCAGGATAGGCTCCAAAGCTACAGAGAAACCCTGTCTGGAAAAAAAAAAAAAAAGATAATCTGAACCCTGATATAAAAGCAAATTAAACACCAGAGCAACTGATTAGGGGCTGGATTTAGAAAGATGGTGACTAAGTAAACTGTGTTTTTAATCAGGGGAGCCGGGAGCAGATTTAACAATGATTTCCTCCCAGTGCCTAAGAAAAATTTCAGAAATAATTCATGTGGTCAGGTGCCTTTAATCCTAGCACTTGGGAGACAGGTGGGAAGATCTCTGAGTTCAAGGCCAACCTGGTCTACATTGTGAGTTGTAGACCATCCACGGATACGTAGACCTTGTCTCAAAGGGGGAAAAACGTTGGTGTATTTCGGTCGTTACTTGGAGTCAGAGCTTACTAACCATGGGCCTCTGTGTTTGTGCTTCCTCCCCAGCCTGCCTTATGTTCAGTACTTTGGAGGCGTCTCTGCCCTCAGTAAACAACAGTTTCTTGCCATCAATGGATTTCCTAATAATTATTGGGGCTGGGGAGGAGAAGATGATGACATTTTTAACAGGTAATATTCATAGTTCCTATCTCTTTCTGGTCTCCCGGGCTTTCTTTCCCATTTTTTGAATCAGTACTTGGTTATTCTGGAAGGATTAGCACCCAGGAGGGAGCAGTTCCCCCTCAGCCCCTGTGCTTAGGTCCATGCTCCTGTAGGTCCTATAGGTGCTTAGCAGAGTCTTTAGAAAACTGAGCTTCTGGGATTTTTTAGAACAGCTTTGGAAAATGTAAGATGGCTGTGGGATGGAAAGGCAGATTTCCTTTGACTTCCTACATGGACTTTGGTAAAGCTTGTGTCCTATGTGAAAGGACCGAGGAGATGGCTCAGTGGATAAAGCACTTTCCCTTGCAAGCATGGGACTTGAACTCAGAAGCCTGTAAAACCAGATGTGGCGGTGAGTGCATCTGTGACCCCAGCACTCTCTGGTGAGATGGGCCATGGGGATAAGAGAGTCCCCAGATTTGAGGTTCTTTTTAAAAGAAGACTTTGTATCTTGTTGTAGTCCCTTTTCAGTGTAAAGCAAGTTTCCTCCAACAGAATCTTTAAGCCATATTTTTATTTTGGAATATTTTAACCACAATTAAGAAAAAAACCAGAGTAGCTGGGCAGTGGTGGTGCACATCTTTAATCCCAGCACTCCGGAGACAGAGGCAGGTGGATCTCTGTGAATTCGAACCAGCCTGGTCTACAAGAGCTAGTTCCAGCACAGCCTCCAAATCCACAGAGAAACCCTGACTCAGAAAAAGAGAGAGAGAGAGAGAGCAGGGGGCTGGAGTGATGTCTCACTAGTTAAAAGCAATTACTACTCTTGCAGAGAACCCAAGTTTTGTTCTCAGGACCCGTCTTAGGTTTAGGTGTCTCACAACTGCCTGTAACTCCAGCTCCAGAGGATCCAATACCTTTTTCTGGAGTCTGTAGGCATCTGCACTCAGATGTACACAAACACATACACACAATAATAATAACTAAAAATAAAATTCATCAGCCAAGCATGATGGAGTACTTGGGAGGCAGAGGCAGGCAGATCTCTGTGAGTTTGAGGCCAGCCTGCTCTACAGAGTGAGTGCCAGGATAGCCAGAGCTACATAGTGAGACCCTTTCTCCAAAAAAAAAAAAAAAAAAAAAAAAAGCATAAAAAAACAAAGGCAATAGTTTAGTGAGCCTGTGTGAAACCTGATCCATGCTCATTATGCTGTCTTACCACATCCAGTCCACACTGGCAAACCTGTCTCCTGTAGGTTACAGGTAGTAAAACTCATCTAGGAGCCAATCTGAACCCATTACCTGAATTGGGATACATTTGATGAGTTAACAGAAGGTGTCTGTTAGAACAGCATCCATGCCATTAAAGGTTACCACTATGTGAGAACTTGCCAAAGCTCCAAGTTCTTAATAAGGGCCTTTAAAAAAAAAACAAAAAAAAACTTGAGTATTAAAGTATGCAAACTGGTTACCAAGCATGCACACATTGAGCATATATTGCATACAGAGCATGGCAAGGCCCATCCAGCAGGGAAGATGCAAAGAACCGTGACACAGGCTTCAGACAGACACAACTACTTCATCAGAACCTTATCTGGGCAAACCCTCTGGACTGTTGTGGCAGTGCAAGATACCACTGTCCTGATTGGTCAGAAGGGTTGGGGAGGTAGGAGGTATTGAGAGCAGGACTAGAAAGATAGGGAGAGAAAGAAAAGCTTTATGTACCTGCTTACTGTATGCCAGACACTAAGACGAGCCCACAAGGAAAACATTGCCACAACCTTGCAGCTCATCCAGATCGGCCAGTCTCCCCCTAACTTGGATATTTAATGCCTTGATTTTGGGCCTTAATGAGTCAAACACTACAAATCTGTCATTTCATGATATTGGGAAGGAGTCTAAATTTTAACTGAAGTCTTCCTGGGCTGTGTGCCAGCATGATGCTGAGGGGTTGGGCTTAGTGAGCAGCTTTTAGGTCCATAATCTTGCAACTGAGCTACTAGACCCAAGCCTTGTGGCAACTATGGTAATGACTGTCTGTTTACTCTTTGCAGAATAGTTCATAAGGGAATGTCTATATCACGCCCAAATGCTGTAGTTGGAAGATGTCGCATGATACGACACTCAAGAGACAAGAAAAATGAGCCCAATCCTCAGAGGTATGTTCTCTGTGTTCTTTTTACTTATTTTTATGTTAGGTTTATTTTATTTTATGGATATGAGTGTTTTGCCTGTGTGTAAGTATGTGCACTACATGTGTGCCTGCTGTCCTTGGAGGTCAGAAGAGGTCATCTGGTCCTTTGGAATTGGAGTTGTGACCCACCGTGTAGGTTTCCTCTACAAGAGTAGCCAGTGCCATCTTTCTGGCTTTCTCCTCATTCGTATCACTCTCCCTCCTTTCCGGTGGGGCAGGCTGTAGTCAGGCTTCCCTCAGGGCCCTGTTCCTCCAGTGAGGTAGAGATGTTCCATTTGTGGTAACCATCCTGGGCAGGGGCTGTTGGGGAAGATGTTCAGATGTTGACCAGTTTCTTAAGATTTAAAATGATTCTCCCTTTGCACTTTTTCCCCTGGTAGGTTTGACCGGATTGCTCACACAAAGGAAACTATGCGCTTTGATGGTTTGAACTCACTTACCTACCAGGTGTTGAACGTAGAGAGATACCCATTATATACCAAAATCACAGTGGACATCGGGACACCAAGATAGCATTGTGGAACAAATAAGAGACCTGAAAATGGCCAGGGGCCTCAGATATGTGTCTCTGCCAATCGACTGGGCTGGTCCCTCTTATTTGTACAATCTGAATGATAGTTTTCCTTGCTGTCATTCAGACACCTTCCCAGATGCCCATGGTGAATGCAACATTCTCCCCAACCTGGCTTGGCACTGGATGAAATTCTCCAAGGTGTTTGTCAGTGTAAAAATGGTCAGCCTTTGGAGGCTTCTTGGACATGTCCTTCGTGTTACCTCCAAAGAAGCAGAACTGTACACAAGTCAAAACTTAGAGACTGTGGATCACATTCCCACTATTGAAACTGCTAAATTGTGAAATGGGTAAGAACTTTGCTTTAATCCGTGATGTTCAGACTTCACGACAAATTGAAGACTGCTGCTGGATTCAGATTGATATGATACTCTTGAATTTTTTTATACAAAAATCAAAATTTCAGTCAGTCTCATGTTCTGTTCCTGTCCTATGTTCTCTCATTGGTATGCAATTGCTACAATCACTGTGTGTGCCTGTGTTTTCTTAGCAAAAGAATTTTAAAACTTGAGCCTGGAAATTGGTGCCCTGTTAGTGTGTGGAGTCCGAGGCCTTGCACTCAGAGCAGGGGGCCTCAGGCCCTCCCACCCACATGGCCTTTCTCCAGATCCCTGGCTGATTTCTGAATGTAAAGCTTTGAGGATGTTTGTTTGTTTGTTTGTTTTTTAAGAAGCAGTTTGTGGTGTTTTAAAGAATAAATCTTAAAATAGATCTTCTAATTATGCTATAGCTTGATTTTTGTGTTGATCCAAATTGGAATAACTATTGAGTGTTAACTCATGACAATTTATTTTTCTAGGCATGCTATGTAAACTTGAATTTCCTATGTATTTTTATTGTAGTGTTTTAAATGTGGGGAAGGAACTGAGTATGTTGTAGGGAGAAAAATAATGTATGCTGTAGTGGTCATAGATGAGCCTCTGATTTGGCCGGCAGGCAGAACAAAATTACCCTCAGGTCCCCTGGTGAGGGCAAAGCTTACAGGTCAACATCGTCCTCCAGACCTCTGGGTCAGGCACTTGGGAGACAGCCTCTGACTACCTGGCAGAACTCTCCCTCCCCTCCCCCAGGTGAGCCTGGTCGAGGGACCCTCAGCCTCCTAGAACTGACCTCTCAGGGCCCTAGGCTGTGGGGTTGAAAAATCATAGCAGTCAGGTTGTTCACCGCCCCTCAGAGCCTCGTACCACACTCCCTGACCCGTCCAAAGTAACCAGTTCTTACTTCCCTCCTGCTTTCTTCTCCTCCCTTTTCATCCCTCTGCTTCCTTCCCTACAATTCCCTGTGGCACCCAGGGTCAGACTTCATTCTTCAGCATGATTGTGCCTTTTAATTAGAGGTCTAGAAAGTTCACTGGAACACACACCTCCATCTTCCTGAGAATCCTGGTGCCTATAAAGTCTCTCATCACTACTCAGGGTTTTAGCAGGTGCTCCCATTCCTCAGTCGAATACACGGGGATCATTCACAAACTCACCTGTGCTGGTGTGCAGTGCCTGGGTGAGGTAACCCGAGGCATTGAGACCATCATGCTGGGAGGGCTTGAAAGATATAGCCTGGGTTGAGATCCTATGATTAGCAGTCTGATCCCAGAGCTAAGCCCTTTTCTTCGTTCTGGCAGCCTGTGTAGATGCTGAGAGGAGGATGGCTCTGATCCTACCTGTGCCTTTATTGCTTTGAGCATCACAGTGCCTAACTTGCTGTAGTTTTTTTTTTTTTTTTTTTTTTTTAATGTGTGGGTTAGAAACTGTTATCCCCAGCCAAAGCAGTCAGGCTGTATAAGATCTGTGCTCCCTCCATTCCCCATGCCTCTAGAAGGCCATTGAAACTGAGACTGGCTGCACTGAGAAGACTTGGGAGAAATGGAGAGGACCTTTTTTTCTGTCCCCAGATCCTGACTTTTCCAAAGTGCCTTAAAAGAAGGGAGACAGATGCTGAGTGGTGTTGTCTGTGTCACCTCCTTGACTCCTGAAGCAAAACTGCCTTTTCTCAATGCTGTTCCTCTTGGGTTTTGTTCATGTCAAATGTGGTTAAATTTCAGAAGCAAGGGAAATTGTCTTGCCTGTTCCTCCACCTTCCAGTATTCTCCGAGGCACCTCGGGCCCAGTGCACAACTAAGATACTGCTGGGTATGGACATTTGCCCTGCCCAGGAGATGCCAGGGGTGTCAGCATCCTCTTTGGGGACTGGAGGATTGAGGAGTCAGGGAGCATTTCCTTCAGCTGGGAGTTCAGACACCAGTGTCACATGCTGTGCCTTTCTCTGTCTATATTTTTGCTGGTGACCTGTGTAGAGTGGCTTTGGAAAAGATCAGTGGCACAGGAAGTCAAAGGAAATGCTGTGCTGACCTTCAGCCTGGCAGGGTCCACACTGACCACTGGGCTGTTAGATACCTGTGATGCTGTGTATGTATTTTGATATGCTGTGTATGCAAATGTGTGTATTTACTCTTGGGCCTGGGGCTGGTGTGGGGGAGCTGTCTCTGACCTTGATGTTCAGAACAGACATCTGTATTTTTGCCTTTGAAATGCAGTAATATAACACAAATAAATGACCCTATCTTTGTAACTGTGGTTTCTCTTCTAATTTAAGAGGTTTGGGTAGCAAGGGAAGAGGGCAGCAACAAGCTACACATGCCTCCGAGAAGTCACAAGTTTCCTCATAGAACCTTCATTTTTCTTATCTGACAGTGGGAAGAGACCATGTAGAGACTATTTATTGTAGGCTTAAAAGATATGTTTAAACTAATGACCAATACTTCACAGGTACTCACTACATAGAATCCATTCCCAGTTCAAAATAAAATTGTCCCTAGAAGTTCTCTGGCCACAGTCTGCTATTCTCAACAAATGTCAGGATAGTTAAGGATAGATCTGAGAACCATCTGTGCAAGGTAGTCACAGTGTAAGTTACAGGCTATTTTCCCATATTGGGTTTCTTGCCAGGCAAGAAAGTTTAAACTAGTGTTATAGTGTTAGGGGATCAGAACCTAAGAGCCACCAGTCTTCAATAAGCCATTAAGCAAGTCGTAGCGAAAAGCAGGGAATGGAGATTTATTCAGTGTGGGTACTTAAGAGGTCCTGCGCCCCTCCCTCAAGTCTTTAGCTTCCTACAGTATGTTTAGGTTTAAGTAGAGGGTGGGAGATACGCACTACAAAATAGTCCTTATCAAGGAGTGGTCCCACCTATCATCATTGTCTTCAGCTCCAGTTAGCCTTTTCCTCCCAGCATGAGATTCGTGAGGAAATTCCAGTTCCCTAGGGGTGCATTGTCACTACAGTGTGATCCCTAAAGGAAGGGGCAGAAGTGTCTCCCTCTTTCACTTAAGATTTGTTCGTATTTTGAATTATGGTTATGTGTGTATGTACACATGCATGCAGGAGTCCAGGGAGGCCAGCAGAGGGCAGAATATCCTTTTGAGCTTAAGTCAGAGGTGGTTGTGAGCAGCCTGAAGTGGTTGCTGGGAACCCAATGTGGTCCTCTGTAAGAACAGTATGTGCTTTTAACCACTGAGCCATCTCTTTAGCCCCACCAGGGTCTCTTTAGAATACCTTCATTACCCTGGGACTATTAGTAAAGCATTTTAGTCGTGACTAGGTACTTAAAACAGTACACCCCAGGTGTGTCCTCTTTTATCCCATGTGTCAGGCACCACAGCCTCTCACAGGCTGACTGACTAGACTTGAAACAGGTCAAAGGTAATCAGTACACCGGAGATGCTGTTCTGGCTGTCCTACTAGAATGAGGTAAGAAAAATGAACATTAGATAGCCACCCCAGGGCCATCTGTGTTAGCTACACTACTGGAGCAATATGGTGGTTTCTGGCCTAAGCATCCATAGGAAATATTCAGATGTGACCTTCAAACATGGTGCACTAGGGCCTTTTGACAGTACTCTCATAGAGTCTAGTGAAAAAGAAAAACAATGTATTTTCCTTCTCACACATCACTTCTCTCAGCACTTCACATCTGACACCAGGTGTATGGACTCCCTCTAGTGTAAGTCATTCTATTATCATCTGCCAGAATTGCATGTCACCGGCTAAGGACTCAACCACAGGATTGCCCCTACCTTCAACACTAATAGCAAGTTAATAGGTTGTGACTTGCACTCCTGACCAGCTGGCTGTAAATCCCCAGGATCTTTGCTGCAGGGTCAACTAATTTGCCAGGGTGGTTCACAGAACTCAGGGAAACATACATTTACAGTTTGTTATAAAATGATAGTTCCATCCAGGCCTGGTAGTTAAGGCCTGTAATCCTAGGCACTCAGGGATGACGAAGGAGCATCACAAAAGGTCTGGGCCTGCCTGAGCAGACTAGTGAGATGTCCTCTCAAAAGTACAGAGAAGCAGTTGAAATAGCTCAGTAGTTGCTGGGCGTTGGTGGCTCACACCTTTAATCCCGGCACTTGGGAGGCAGAGGCAGGCAGATCTCTGTGAGTTCGAGGCCAGCCTGGTCTACAGAGTGAGTTCCAGGACAGCCTCCAACGCCACAGAGAAACCCTATCTCAGGAAGAAAGGGAGGGAGGGAAGGAAGGGAAGGGAGGGAGGGAGGAAGAGAGGGAGGGAAGGAAGGGAAGGGAGGGAGGGAGGAAGAGAGGGAGGGAAGGAAGGGAAGGGAGGGAGGGAGGAAGAAGGAAGGAAGGAAGGAAGGAAGGAAGGAAGAAAGGAAGAAAGGAAGGAAATG